ATCCACAAAGAAGGAACACCACTCAGATCCATTGTCAGCAGCATGAACTTAGTGACATACAATAATGCTAAACATCTGGCTGGTATTTTAGCTCCTCTTGTTGGAAACACACCTCATCACATAAAGAACTCCATTGATTTTGCCAACAAAGTTCAACATTTGAAACTAACCCCAGGATAAACCCTTGTATTGTATGATGTGACTTCTCTTTTCACTTGCATACCCATCTCTGAAGCAGTAGAAACCGTCAGAAAAATACTTTTATAAGACAAGGACTTAATCAAAAGGACCAACTTCACCCCAGACCAGATCTGCACCCTGTTGGACCTCTGCCTCTCCACCACTTATTTCAAGTTCAATGACAGTTTTTACAGACAGAAGCATGGCTGTGCCATGGGATCTCCAGTGTCACCCAATGTTGCCATTCTCTACATGGAGGAAAAGGAACAGAGAGCCCTAAACTTCTTTGAGGGAACAACGCCAAGCCATTGGTTCCAATATATGGATGATACATGGGTCAAAATCCAAACCAAGAAAATAGAAACGTTCACCAGGCACATCAACTCGGTCGATAACAACATCAAGTTCACCAAAGAAGATGCAAACAACAACAAGCTGCCTTTTTTGGACTGTTTGATTCAGATGGAAAAAGAGGACAACCTCAACATTGAAGTTTACAGAAAACCAACCCACACAGACCAGTATCTTCTGTTTGACTCCCACCATCCACTGGAACACAAACCCTCTGTCATCAGAACTTTACAGCATTGGACCGAACGCATCCCCACAAAGACAGAAGGGAAGGAAAAGGATGGAAAATTGAGATTTATCTTACAGAGAGATGTGTGAGGGAATTTATCTGTTTTAACCAGAACAGCACGCTCTTTGGAAATCAGCTTGTCCCAAACGGTACACTTTTGGGTGAAGGTCGACTTTACCTTTCTGAAGATAGATCAGGTCGGCGTGAAGTCCTACTTCCAGCCACTTTCAGCATCTCTACACTTACCAATTATATGCCTGATGTGATGATTTTGTCCTCCGCCTTTGGTTTTATAAGTCTGTGTACATGTTCTGTCATTAAGTGACCTTGTACTAGATGGCTGCTAAAGTTATCAGTTTTCAATCTTATACATCTGTAAAGTAACCCATATTACTTATACATTAACAAAAACACTATGATTCATACAGCAGACACTCACTCACACTCCAACATCATTCATGCAACAAATATACATGGCATTTATTCAATTCAATTCAGTTTATTTATATAGTGCCAAATGACAACAAATTTGTCTCAGGACACTTTACAGAAACATTCACATACCTAAAAGCCAATTAGCCCAATTAGTAAAATTCTCTATCTAAGGAGGCCAGCAGACAAGTTGCATCTTATGATGTTATATTTCCCTATACCTTCCTAACTAAGGTTCTTGTTTGTCCCTCAACTTATAAAAACACATTTTCATCACTGCCTATTCTAAAAAGCTATCAATCCCTGTCTTTAACCATAACAGATCCATATGGTCATCTGCAGGTATTCTTCTTCTACTTTGTAGTTGGTGGCCTAACAAAATGTTTCAACTTTCAGTAAAAAAAGTAAAAAAAACCCAACTTATTTCTCCTTCCCATCTTACAGGAAATATTTACCAGTACTGTTGTGCTGGAACACTGCAGAGAAGGGAGTAGTTTCTTTAAAATTGGTTATACCTGGAGAGAGTAAATGTGAGTTAGAATGGATACATGAATTATTGGTAGCCAGTTTGTAAGCTACTTTGTTAATATTTGCCATTTCAGGTTGATGTGAACCGGGTTGGATCACATAATCCTGGCTCATCAAATGAGGTCACTGTTCCAGAGATCCAGCTCCCACATGCACTGAATGGATCAGAACTATGCCGCTATGTTCTAGAATTGCGCCACTCAAGGTGGCATCATGTTGGAGCAGCTCTGTTACTTTCATTCTGAGATTTTGCTTTTGGAAACTTTAATTCCTCTTTTGCTGAATGCAAAGCACTTTTTTTTTGTTTGGATGATAGTTTCCTCTGGTATCGGATGCTGTGCAGCTCGAAGGATTTTTACTGAAACTTTTTTAGTTTTGGACATTTGTTATGATGCATAACCATGGCAACAAGATGGTTTTCTACAACCAACAGCAGCTGATTAACATCTCAAAAGCTCAAATAATATCTCAACTACAGCCCAAAATCTCAAACGAGTTGAAAAGGATGTTTTGTGGACACATTCTCATCTCCCTGTCAGCTGTGCTCGAGTGCCTGACCACTGAGATCCTGGAACTAGCAGGAAACATGGCTCATGACAGTGGAAAGACAGGATCGTCCCTTGGCACCTACAGTTGGCTGTCTGCAGCAATGAGAAGCTCGGCAGACTGCTGGGAGGAGTGACCGTCACTCTGGGAGGAGTTCTGCCCAGCATTTGGGCGGTCCTGCAGTCAGGGAACAGAGAGGCCAGCCGAGTCTGGGTGGACAGATCGGACGGCATCTGCAGCCGATTTCTTAGAATCCACTGTGGGATGGACCTTTACAAGAGATCCTTCCTGCCTACAGCCATCAGTATCTATAACGTATCTTAATGAAATGAGGATAACGAGTTACAACAAGAAATAATTTCCCTTTGGGATTAAAGTATTTTTGAATTGAATTTGAATTGAATATGGGTCCTAGACTTCTTAACAATTATACACAGTCTGTGAGCTTCCACAACTTCTCCTCCTCCACCATAACCATCAGCACTGACTCCCCTCAGGGCTGTGTGCCAAGCCCTCTCCTGTTAATTTTGCTCATGTATGACTGTGCATCTACATACCTATCCAGGCTGTCACATTGTAAAATTTGCAGACGATACAGCGATGGTGTTATGCATCACAAACCATGAGTCCAGCTACAGGCAGGAGGTGGAACACCTGGAGAGCTGATGCAGGAAGAACAACCTTCACAACAATGTGAAGAAGATGAAGGAGATGCCATAACAAACACACCTACATGGATGGAGTTTGCATGTTCTCTTTGTGCACGCATGGGTTTTTCCCGGATACTCCGGTTTCCTCCCACAGACCAAAAAACATGCATGTTAGGCTGATTGGTAACTCTAAATTGTCCCTAGGTGTGAAAAAGGGTGAATGGTTGTTTGTCTCATTTGTCTGTATGTGGCCCTGTGATGGACTTGTGACCTGTGCAGGGTGTACCCTGCCCCTCGCACAGTGATTGCTGGACATGGGCACCGGTGACCCCCGTGACCCAAAAATGGAAGAAGAGGGTAAAAGGTAATGGATAGATGGATGGATGGATGAAAAATTCCTCGGGGTACACTGTTGGGGGTGCTCCGTGAGTATGGGATTGGAGGTCCATTGTTACAGGATGTTCAGTCCCTACACAAGCGGTGCGAGAGTTTGGTTCGCATTGTCGGCAGAAAGTCGGAACCTTTCAGGGTGGGAGTTGGATTCCGCCAGGGCTGCTCGTTGTCACCGATTCTGTTTCTTAACTTTTATGAACAGAATTTCTTGGTGCAGCCAGCTGGCGGAGGGTTTCTGGTTCGGTGGCCTCAGGATTCCATCTCTGCTCTTTGCAGACTATGTGGTCCTGTTGGCATCATTGTGCTGTGATCTTCAGCTCTCACTGGAGCGGTTTACAGCCAAGTGTGAAACGGCTGGGATGAGAATCAAATCTCCAAATCTGAGGCCATGGTCCTCAACTGGAAAAGAGTGGATTGCTCTCTTCAGGTTGAGGGTGAGGCTCTGCCTCAAGTGGAGGAGTTCAAGTATCTCTGGGTTTTGTTCACGAGTGAGGGAAGAATGGAGCGTGAGATTGACAGACGGATTACTACAGACGGTGCAGCATCTGTAGTATTGCAGACTCTGTACTGGTCCATTGTGATGAAGAGAGAGCTGAGCTGTAAGGCAAAGCTCTTTGTTTACCGGTAGGTCTACGTTCCTACCCTCACCTATGGTCATGAGCTCTGGGTAGTGACCGAAAGAATGAGATCGCAGATACAGGCAGTTGAAATGAGTTTTCTCTGCAGGAAAGCTGGACTCTCCCTTAGAGATTGGGTGAGAAGTTCAGTTATCCGGGAGAGACTCGGAGTAGAACCGCTACTCCTCCATGTCAAGAGGAGCCAGTTGAGGTGGTTCGGACATCAGGTAAAAATGTCCCCTGGGCACCTCCCTAGAGAGGTGCTTTGGGCATGTCCAACTGGGAGAAGACCCTGAGGAAGACCCAGGACATGCTGGAGAGACTAGTTGGCCTGGGAACGCCTTGGAATCCTCCCAGAAGAGCTGGAAGAGGTAGCTGTGGAAAGAGATGTCTGGGCCTCCCTCCCCTGCTCAAGCTGCTGCCACCGCGACCCAACTTCGGAATAAGTGAAAGATGATGGATGGATGGATGGATGGATGGATGGAATGTTCCACAAAAAGGGACAAAACGTTAATCAACTGGTACTTCTGGCCCTGGATTGAACATCACTGGAAGATGTGTGGAACGATGGTCAATCTTGTCAAATATTAGAGGTGAAAAAAATAAGCCCAAAAATAGGACTCAGGTTTGGAAAAAGAGCTGGCTGCCAGTGGGCTGAGGCTAAACAGTGTTATTGAGGTAAAAGTGCATCAGTTCGGGCAAAAATTATTTGTTTTTGCTATTAGATGCCTCAACCCCCCCCCCCCCCGGGATTAATAAACTATCTATCTATCAATCTGTCTGTCCGTCCAGCCATTCCTGACAAGGTCAAAAAACCTAATGCGATAAACAAATTTTGTAGTATTTTCATGTATTAAAAACTGAAAGGTGTCTGTGGCAACACCAACACCAATGGCAAATTAAGATAGCAGTTTACTTCAGTCTTGGTCCAGTTCAGACAAGCCAGGAGCTCCACACTACAGTACATGTCATGAATACACAAATCAAATTCAAATAACACTTTTATTAATTCATTAATGATTGTACTAAAAATTGTTTTTAACGTCTCCCAATTTTTTTTTCTTTTCTTGGCAGGCTTACCAGTTATCTAGAGGGAGAGTGTGGCCTATGATTATCATCCTGTGTCTGATTGCTGCAATCCTGTCAGCTTTTCTGGACAACGTGACCACTATGATGCTTTTCACACCTGTCACCATACGGTACAGTTCAGGAATTGGTTTAATTAAAAAATCTTTAATCATTTTTGACATTTTTTTACAACAATGAAGCATGCCACCTGCTTTCTGGAAAGAATTAATGCCAAAAACACATCTTAAGTTACTTAAAATTGTTCAAATGACAGCAGATTTTATTATTTTGTCCTACTGTTGCTTCAAACCCATTTTGATTTAGACTTAAAGTAATATTAGTGTCTCTGTTTTAAGATATTGATTTGACATCAACAGATCAAAACAATGCTGTGCCCTAATTTGTTAACAGCAGTGTGGAAATTCTACAAAACTTTGACGTTAAACCTAATCTTCATCTGCAATTATCATTTTTATATTCCTCTATTTATGTCTACTGCAATCTCATCAAAAGTATTCTGTATCAATCTGATTTTTCAGGCTGTGTGAGGTGCTTAATCTAGACCCCCGACATGTCTTGATTGCTGAAGTAATCTTTACCAACATCGGCGGAGCTGCCACAGCGGTCGGAGATCCACCCAACGTGATTATAGTGTCAAACCAGGGCCTGCGTAGAGAAGTAGGCACTTTCACAGCTCTTTCACTCAAACATTTTCAGCTCAATGTAATCTGACACATAAACACCCAGAAACCAATATGCTTCATGATATGGGGCATGGTGAAGATGAAATTATTGTTTTATCTGTACAAATGGTTGAGCATTGATAAATATAGAAACAGTGTGAAAAACTGATTCAGTGTCACTACTCCACACATTTTTATAAAATAGCATCCTGTATATAAGGTGGTGAATGGGTTAAAAATGTACATTTGAATGTACACTGTTAAACATGTCTGACAGTTATCATGACAGGAAGTCACCCTTTTGCTGCTGTTGTCCCATTAAGCTGAAGCATTAAACTCTAAGGGTTTCTGACAGCTATTATTTTCTTAACTGGTTTCCCAGTTGGCCAATTTCAGCTGTTAGCTGAGATTTAAATTGAAACTGGAGCACAAATTAAGATGCTTGTTAGTCACAAGTATAATATAAGTCTTAAATTATATTATACTTATGACTAGTAGGAATGTGCGATATGGCATAAAATTCATATCACAATATGTATTGTGAAGGGTGGTGATAACGATATATATCGCAATATGTTTTTGGTATAAAACTTGCTAAAAAAAGCATAGGATGTCCTTTTGACATCATATATTTTGAATTAAGAAAATTCCACTACTAGGTCCAGAAAGTTTTTAATTAATAAACAAATCAAGTATTAGTCTTCTTTCTTGTAGTGCAATTATATTCTAGATGTGTTCTAGAATATATTTTCAATATGTTCTAGAATTGCGCCGCTCCAGGTGGCTGCATGTTGGAGCATCTCTGTTACTTTCATTCTGATATTTTGCATTTGGAAACATTAATTCCTCTTTTTCTGGATGTAAATCACATTTTTTTGTATGATTGTTTCCTCTGGTATCAGATGCTGTGCAGCTCAAAGGATTTATACTGAAACTATTTTAGTTTTGGACATTTGTTATGATGCATAACCATGGCAACAAGGCAGTTTTCTACAGCCAACAGCAGCTGATTAACATCTCTAAAGCTCAAATAATATCTCAACTACAGCCCCAAATCTCAAATGAGTTGAAAGAATGTTCTGTGGATGCATTCTCATCTACCTGCCAGTTGTGCTCGAGTGCCTGACCACTGAGTTCCTGGAATTAGCAGGAAACACAGCTCATGACAGCAGAAGGACAGGATCGTCTCTCAGTACCTACAGTTGGCTGTCCGCAGTGACGAGGAGCTCAGCAGACTGCTGGGAGGAGTGGCCATCGCTCTGGAAGGAGTTCTGCCCGGCATTAGAACAGTCCTAAAGCCCAGGGGAACAGAGAGGCCAGCCGAGTCTGCGTCGACGGATCAGATGGCATCTGCAGCCAGTTTCTTAGGATCCACTGTGGGATGGACCTTTACAAAAGATCCTTCGTGTCTACAGCCATCAGTATCTATAACATCTCTTAATGAAATGAGGATAACGAATTACGGCAACAAATAATTTCCCTCTGGGATTAATAAAGTATTTTTGAATTGAATTGAATTGAAAACAGTGCAAAATATAGCAAATGTAATGTTAGCCATATGTTTTAAACAAAAAAATATGTTGTTAACCCTTAACAGTTTCCAGTCTTAAGAAATGAACAGCAACAGAGCAGCATTTTACACTGAAACACTTCACCCTCCAACCCTCTAGTGGGCGACTCCTTCCGCTTTAATGGAGAGATGACACAAAATGAGTCTGTGGCTTTGACCAGAGGGTCTTGCAGTAAAAATCACACAACACAGTGTTCTTTTTACAGATCAGAGAGCAGGATTCTTTAAAGCTGACCAACGCATACTTTAACTTTCGATGGAAAAAAAAACTTTCGTCAGAACACAGTGTTTTGCACATGCGTCAGAATACGGCAACTCTACGGTAAGCCGGCTGTAGTTAGCTTGTAGCATCGCTACTTAGCAATCGAAGAAAAGAGTTTAATGCCACTTGCGCACAGTTTTTAGCTCAAAAAAGTTAATGATTAAATCTGACAGCTCTGATTTTACACTTGAACACCACTTATGCACAGTTTTCAACAAAAAAAAGTAACCTAAAAAAAGTTAAATCTGGTCCTCTGGACATTCAAAAAAACAAAACAAAGCAAAACAAACAACAACAAAAAGAAATGTTTGGTTTTCCATCCAAAAGAATTCCTCAGTCTGAGACGCTGTGTTCAGCTTGTGTTCCCACCCAAGACAGGCTCTAGAGCAATGTGGATATCCTAACTGGGCCTTCCTGAAAGCAGAGAAGAAACCCAAACAGGACTCCAGTCAGCCAACAGGTGAAAAGGAGGAACCCAGACCCAGACCAGAGGTCATTCCATATGTTGAGGGAGTATCAGAGAAACTGAGACGTTTATTTTCTAAACATAACGTCCCAGTGGCTTTTAAACCCCAAAATACATTA